TGCAGCGGGGTACAGTATGCCGTTCTAGTACCTACCCATCATATCTCAGTTCTTCTCGCCCTAATGTACCACCCTAATGCCAGTGAATGAAAGCTCGCCAAAAACCATTCAAATTTTGCTCATTTTCAGAACCTTGCTGTTTTGGGAGAAGTGTGATTTTGTTTTTTGACCTCGGCCGTCAGTGAAACCAATGTTTAGAAAATCTAGAAAAAGACTGACAAAGTTTAGACAAAAAAAAAGCAAACAGCCTTTTTTGCTGCCAGCATTTTTATTGATCGTCCCTCGTATAATCTTAAGCCATGTTGGCTATATAAATTGCAAACATGACTACAGCAGTGCTGCAAATAAAAATTTTTGAAAAGAGACTTAAAGAGGAATGAGAGCAAGCGATTTAAGTGTGAGGTACATTAAAAATGTGGAAGAGCAGGCTGCATCCGCTCAACGCATGGTTGCTGGGTAGACCGAGGAGCAAGATGAGCCAAAATAAAACTCGAATACAACACGGATGTGTGATGAAATTTCTCTGCAGTGAAAAACCAAACCTGTCAGTAAAAATACCAGTGCATTAACTAGTAGATATGAGCTTAAGCCATGGCATACCAGTGCGACATCAGCTTTTGAATTTTAAATGTCACGAATAAAACGCAATTAATTATTTTTCTTAAAAATGTCGGTTCGGGTCCGCATGAAGGTGGTTCAGATTTTTCAAATTAAATCAATATAAAGAAGTTAATATTATTATTCCAATTTGAATATAAATTAAAAATTTTAGAATCCAATTTCATTGAAGAGAGAACATACATATCTGTGGCATTTTATATAAAACCACTTGAGCGACGTTAGAAGGTTTGAGTTTGAATTAAAGAATAATAAGTTTTGCTTGAAATATCTGATATATATATTTTTTAAGCTTATAGTAAAAGGGCTTGCCTAACTACACCTGTCGTTAATTAATCATTAAGATATTGTTTGGAAACCCAATGAAATATTGCTTCAAAGAGAAACTGGCTTATCCCGAGATTAGTTCCTTTAATAAAAGGCCACAGATGTGTAAAGATATACTTTTGCCATAAATAATGAAATTAAAAAATATTTTCTTTAAAAAAATTTCAATAAAAACTCTAAAAAAATAAAAATTAAAAAAAAAAATAATTGCGCGAGGAATTGAACCCCGGACCTTAGGAATACCACGCGGTTCACAGGGGATGAATTGGCAGACATTAACTGGTATGACGCTACTAAGAGAGCAATTCTGGCGGCATACCTAAAACATACGCACCGTTGAGCTAGAGAAAAAAGAAAAAGTGGAGGTGATCCATCCATTTTTGCTAACTGGTAAACTTTGTTTTTGTTGCAAATTGACAGGGCGGCGCGACGTTTGTTTTCTTTTGCCTTTTTATATAAATTCATACTTTTACGTATACCCTAATGAAAATTTGGAATACAAAATCGCGCGATTTTTCGCCTGCGGTGCTTTTTTCTTTTTTCATATAAAACAATATTTTAATACATATATATTTAGTCAACTATGATGTGTAGAAGAACTTCTTGTTACAAATCACATATAAAATTAAAGTTTTTTTTTGTGCTCTTTCTGATAAACATATTTGTTAGTATACATAGTTGATTACGTATTTTTTTACGAAAAACATACATTTTTAAAAAAAAGATTCTCATAATTTATTTTTTTTTTACCATTCCTCGAAATATGTCTAAACTATATACATAGATATATACATCAAATGAAAGGTGCCTCGATCACCTTTCCAACTGTGTCCACATTTTAATCGGTTCAATAGTTTTCGAAATATAAGCTTTTGAAAATGTTGAAAATTCCTTCCTTAGCGCTGCCCCTGTTAATTTGCACAAAAAAATGCCATTAAAATCAGGAAAAGGGGGCGGGCCACACCGCCTTTTTTAGCTAAACCGCCCCTATTCTTTAGGTGTTCCATTCTGGCTAACAGCGCAATTCTGGCAACTATCTGTCAGTTCACCACAGTCTTTCGAAAGACAAAAGTCTTTCGTAAGACAGCGGTCTATTCTCGCAACCATCTTAAAAGCTCTTTATTGTCTTTATTGTAGAATAAAGTCCGAATTCACTCCCGATTTTAGGTTAACTACGAACTGTAAATTTGGCCCTAATTGAAAGATCGGCCATTGCGAGTGAGATAGCTTTTTTCTAAGACTTTTGTGCTAGAATAACAAAAGTCTTTCGAACTATCTTGCCATCTTGATATTTACTGTCTTAGCCAGAATTTCCCTGTAAAATAGGAAAAAGCCTTTTTTTTCGAAAGACAGATGCGAGATAGTTCAATAGACTTTTCTAGATTCTAGCTCTCTCATTCCCCACTAGGGATGTTAATTTTTCAGCTTTTTCCAATGCCCGGATTTTCAGGATGTCGTTATCACAAACCCGGGATGCCGGGATTAGTCCCGGGATTTAGATATTTATTATCACCAACTTTAATCGAAAAAATTGCTTCTATATTGTTTGAGAAGCTCTGCTACCATGAAATGAATAATATTAAATGGGTTTGAAACCTAATTTTTATTTAAAGTGGCGTTTTTATTTTTTCTTTCTGACGTCAGGATTTATTTTAAAGGACTTTATAATTTCAAAGATATGATTAATTCCAAAAATTATTTAAAAAATTCAATGGAATGTAGGACACAAATATGGGTACCAAATGCAAGAGGAAATTTCTTTTGAATTTAATAAATTAAAATTTTTTGGACTCCCAAGGACGAATAGGTAATCTTTTAAGCTGATAAAGTAATAAGGACGAAATACGAGGATTTTATCGATTTTATATAAGTCCTTAACACATAAGTTTTTCAAAAACAAATATTGCGAAACTTCAAGGATACAATTTTTCAGTGCAAATTACAAATCGCGAAAATCCCGGGATTATTTGCCAAGAATCCCGGTATTTTTGGGACTTTAAAAAGGCCGGCATCCCGGGAATAAGATTCCTATTCCCCATTCGTGGTAAAAATCTAATTTGGGAGAAAGCACTTCGTCGTTTAAAGTACAAAATCGCGTAACTGACATTTGCTGCCAAAAATTGGATTTGCCCACACAAGTTCTTGGCGCAATCCATTTGCATTCGTCCTGAAATATACTGGCCAGTAAAGCGATTGCTTTATAGAAAAGAGAACCATTTTGAAATATTAGTACTTTACTGACTAGAAAATAGTTTATGCAACCTCACATACGTGGTTTTGCATTTTGTTGATATGCGGTTTTGTACTTTACACGACGACTTGTATATCATTTAGCTTCAACAGTCGCAACGGCCGAGCGAACAGAGCACAGGCGTGCCTTTCGAGAGATCCCAGTTCGAGTCTCGGTCAGAGGATTTTTTTTTTATTCTTTTAATGTATATTTTTTTTTCTTTTTAATTTTAATTTTTTCGTTATTAATATTTTTTTTTATTTCTCCAATTTATATACAAAAATATATTTTTTAATATCACTTAATTTTTAGAAACTTATTTTATGCATATTTTCTTTTTTAATTTAATTTTAAGATATTCTTTTAAGTTTCATTTAGGTCGAAGGAGCTCATTATGTTCTATTTTATATATATTTTTTTTTGTTTAATTATCTTTTAATTTTTATATTTTATTGTTTAAAAAGAAAAACTTTTTTTTTTTTTAATTTTATCCTGTAGTGTTTTTATTTCATTAAATTTTTAGGATCGTATTTTATTTTTTTATGTTTTAGTTTAATTTACTTTTGATTGCTAGATTTTTTTTTTTGTTAATAAAAATATAGATTTTTTTTAATTTTTTAACTTTTAGATATTGTTTTCTTCTTCTTTGATTTAATTTTGTTTCCCAATTTTTTTTTAGTTATTTAATTTTTTTTTAATTTCATTTAATTTTAAAAGATCTTTTTATTTATATCTGCTACATTTTCATTTAATTTTTTTAAATTTATTTTTCTCTTTTTTTAATATTTATTGTTTTAAAAAGAAAAATTTATATATTTTTTTAATTTAATTTAATTTAAAAAAAACTTGTTACCGAAAGGCCAATATCATATCCTCCTTATCAAATCTTTCAGTTAGACTTTCGAAAGAACAGCAAAGAGCTATCTTACGAAAGACTACGCAAACTAGTTTGGTTGATACTGGTAGCATTCTAATTCACAACCAGTAGCTTTCCCTGCAGGGTACATATGTACATACATACTTATATCCTAATATTCTAAGTTGCGAGCAAAAGCTGGCAATGACTGGAGCATTCTTATGCAGATTCATTTGTCGTTATTAATCCGCCCATGGTTTTAGCTTCTCTCCATGAGACATGCTGTGCGCAAATATGACGAACAATTGCAAATTGTGCTTGTATGCATTGTTTCTCTTGGCATTTTGAACTATCCCTTGTTGTTCTGCTTTTAAGTGTCTCGTCATTTTTTGTTACATTTTCATTTTTATTCGTTTTTATTTTTACTTCCCCTCCTTTTTGTACATAATTTTCTTTCAACCACTTCCTGCCTCATGTTTCAAGGCGATTTCCGTGCTTCATGTTGCGTTCTCGAAAACGTTTCCTGCAACTTCTGCAGCGCGTTGAACGTTTTGCATTTGGCAATTTAATGTTTGCATTTTTATGGCTACTTAGCCTGACGCTGTTGCAATTTGAAATTTCATTTCCATTTGGCGTAGCCAGCAGGTCGTGAAGCAGCCAACAAGGTCTCAAGTGCTTGGAGGACCTTGTGTTCTTCCTTTTTTCTTTTACTTAGCTTTTGCTATTGTAGAGTTGTTTAGTTATTTATTCGCATTTGAGTTGAATGCCAACAAATCGTTGCTTCATATTTATATTAGTATAATTTGTGCGACAACTTATTTTCGCTTTGACGAAATACAATATTTACAATTTCTTCATGTACATAATTTTATTATAGTTCATTGTACTTTTGAGTGCAATAAATTTTGTGACTTTTGCTCTTTTGGTAAATTTTTAATATCTTCTTTAATTTCCTCTCTTACAGATGCCGCACTGGCCGAGGTCTTCGACACACATTTGCGCGGTCCCGGCTTCGTAATGGAGCCACCCGGACGTGTTGAGTTCTCCAATTCGTCTGGCGGTTGGCTTGATTGCTCGGCGTCGGGTAGCCCGCAGCCCACCATCGATTGGGTGCATGCGGATGGCACTGCAGTCTCGGAGATCCATGGTGTGCGACGTGTACTGCGCAATGGCACTTTGGTGCTTTTGCCATTTCCGGCGGCGGCTTATCACCAGGACGTGCACAATACGATTTATCGCTGCATTGCTAGCAACAGTGTGGGGCGCATTGTGTCGCGCGATGTGCAAGTGCGTGCTGGTGAGTAGCAACATTTATAACTTTTTTACTTTAATAATATTTTGGTTTTAAGATTTAAATATGTATTTATGTAAGTAAGTAAGTTTGCATGTAAAGTATGTATGTATGAACATATATCTGTACGGAGTTTTAGGCGTGTAGGTAATGACATTGCTGATTAAGTTGAGATTGCGCACGCTCCATTTCATTGTTGAGCACGCCATCGCTAGGTATGACAGTGAAATACCATAACAGCATTGTATTACACTGAACTGGCTATCCCCTTACAAGAAGAACTTTTAAGAGCTGTAAAAGCTGAGCATCACGATAAAATCGAAGGTGAGCGGTAAAAAGACATTTGCAAAATTAATCAAATTGCGAAAAAATTTAATTATTTTCTAATATGCATGAAACGGAGTCAAGTGCCAAATCAGTTTAGTTCAGTGGTAGTTAAGCAGCATTTTTATTTTACTTACAGCAAGTAAATATTTTTTGTTCATATTTAAGATATTTCTGAAACACTAACTCAACCCTAAGATACAAATGAAATGAGAAAAATATCTGAATATTAAGAAAAGTCGCGCAACAAATCAAAAATATGGTGAATTCCCTCGTCACCCTTCCGACTAAAACCTGCGCATATTCGATTCCTTAAGAATGGTTATTTGGAACGCTAATTGGCTATCAAAATGCCTAATTGAACTAGATAGATATAAAATATAACGAGGTATGCACTGCCACCTAATAATATATTTTGCCTCCTCCAAGCCTAGATCCGTCAGAAAGTTCCATCGCGTTTTCGGCAACAGTGAGTGAATATGCTTACTCTATTGGCACATTGAGCCTACTCTTCTCCCACGTCTTCTGCTGATTGCATCACACTCAATGAGGATGTGTAGTGGTGTTTCATTTGACCATACTCCCACCTTATAAAGATGCCCTCGTAATCTGCAGTGACCTGAAAGGAGGCCTGTTAATATTCTTAGCTTCTTCTTTGGGAGTTTAATAATACTTTGGAATCTCCTCTTGTTATACCCTCCCAGTGAACTATTTGCCTGACTCATTCCTACCGAATTATACCAGTTAAAGTCCCCAACATTGCCCTTATCCGTCCAGAGCTCCTCCTTTATAGTGCCGGGCAATCCCAGGAAAGCCTCAGGGCCAACTGGAGTGTTGACTGCTGTCTCTCTTGCGAGACAGTCCGCCGCTTCGTTCGCCTCTATTCCCATATGGCCAGGAACCCACGCCAGTCTGATGTTATTGTGCCTTCCAGCAGTTTTGAGCCTCCCTATGCACTCAAGGACCAGGGATGATTTGATTTCAAAAGATAAAAGAGCATTGATGCCGCCTGACTATCACTTTGTATTATAATTCTCTCTTTACGGTAGCCTCTATTTAACATGGTCTCCGCACACAAATAGATGGCGTACCCATAGGAATCCAGGTCCTAGGTCCAAAGATTCGAGCCCCTATTCCTTCTGGAGTTTTCGAGCCGTAAGTATACCAATGCAGTGTACTTTCCCGAAGGATTCCTTTGAAGGCGGAGATACTCTAGGTTGATTTACTGCCTAACTAAATTTTAAACCTCTTCTCAAGTTCTATAGTTCTACATAATTCATTTGACGTAAGCAGAGCTAGCGGGAGCGAGGACTCTAGCTTCGCCATGTTCCTGAAGGAAATGGCCTTTCCTCTTCCAAATCTTTCTCTTGAACAACTGAGTAGAGTTCTTTTGGCGACCTGTTCTATAGTTATATAGAGGGGCTAGGTCCAAAACCACTTCCAGCGCTGTCGTCGCACATGTGAGCATCGCTCCCGTTATGCATACATATGCCTGTCGTAATGGAAGTAAAAGCCGGAGGTGACTACAAAGCAAATACAGCTTCCGTCTTTTTCTTCTTCTTATTTGGCACTGTAACTCCCTAAGCGATTTTGGCCGAGTTCAGCAAAGCACGCCAGTCGTTTCTCTTCTATGCCAACTGACGCCAATTGGAAACGCCAAGTGATGCCAAGTCCTTCTCCACCTGATCTTTCCATCGCAGTGAGAGCCTCCCTCTTCCTCTGCTACCACCAGCGGGTTCCGAGTTGAATACATTCAGAGCTGGAGCGTCGGTGTCCATTCGAACGACATGACCAAGCCAACGGAGCCGCTGTATTTTAATTCGCTGTACTATGTCCATGTCGTTGTAAAGCTCACACAGCTCATCGTTCCCTCGTCTGCGGTACCCGCCGTTGCCAACGCATAAAGGGCCGTAAATCTTCCGCAAAATCTTCCTCTCAAACACTCCAAGAGCCGCCTCATCGGATGTTGTTATTGTCCATGCTTCTGCGCCATATACCAGCACGGGCATTATGAGTGACTTATAGAGTGTGGTTTTCGTACGTCGAGAGACTACTTTACTCCTGAATTGCCTACTCAGTCCAAAGTAGCACTTGTTGGAAAGAGTGATTCTGCGTTGGATTTTCATGCTGACATTATTTTTGGTGTTAATGCTGGTTCCCAAGTAAACGAAATTTTCTACTTTCTCGAAATTGTAACTGTCAACAGTGACGTTGGTGCCAAGGCGCGAATGTGCTGACTGTTTGTTTGATGACAGGAGATACTTCGTCTTGTCCTCGTTTACCACCGCTTTGTTTCCTTATCAAACATGTCATCGGCATAAGCCATCAATTGCACGCTCTTGTAGTAAATTGTTCCTGAGCAGTTCAGTTCTGCAGCTCTTATTATCTTCTCTATCATCAGATTAAAGAAGTCACATGAAAGGGGGTCGCCCTGTCTGAAACCCCGTTTGGTGGCGAACGGCTCGGATAGGTCTTTCCCATATCTAATGGAGCTGGTGGTATTGCTCAACTTCATTTGCACAGCCGTATGAGTTTTGAGCGGATGCCAAAACCAGACATAGCGGCGTATGGGCAACTCTTTTTAGTGCTGGCAACTCCTTTTAGAGCTTCTGTGGCTCTCCAATTATTACTTCTAGATGAAGGAAATTTTGGGCTGTTATCATAACTCTGAACTTATCTCCGATCTCGAACGGCCAGAAGATATTAGCAATATGCACGACTTGATTGATGTCTGTGTAGGTAAAGGCATTGTGCTTTCAGAAGTGTTTAGACTTGTCTCCCGCTTTATTTGTACTCAATAGGAATTTTTCGGCCAAACCCAAACAACTTACTCTACACTAGCGGATAAATATGGAATTCCTTCCGGTTTATGCTTTCTCTGACCACTTAAATTTGATGAACTATTCAATAATTTCCTGCAGCAAGCCGTCCGGAATTCAACTCCGTCTCTTACCAAGCGAAAAAGCTAATTGATTCTTTAGAAGCAAACTAGATATCGTGAATATTGAAAACAATTAAACAAGCTCACAAACTAAAAGACACCTCAATAATGAACGCAACTACAAAACATAAAGATACCTGAGCAGTATTGACGCAACTGCAATTGCCGAATATACTCTCCAGAAAGTAGTGAACAACTTAAAAAGACCCTCCATGCTGGGATCTGCAATAAGGAAGGAAAACAACGAATTAGCAAAATGTACTCACTATCCAAAAACGGTATTCACACCGTATAACTTTGAACTTCCACCCAACACCACAAATAAAGTACATAAATGCCACACTGGGATGTACTCATCAAACGGATCCATTTATAAGGATTTTAATAAAGTAGAATTAACAACACAAATTGAAAAGTCTGAAATAAGTTTACGGCTATGATCTCATTAGAATCCAATTACTACAGCAATTACTTAAGGATAGCTCACACAACTCCAGAGGATGGTTTCACTAATAAAAATGATTCTCAAATCTCTAAAATGTGCTGATAAAGTAGAATCCTATATCCCAATTAGCTTTCTAACCACTATTTCCAAAATAATGGAAATAATCCTCCTTAAAAGCTTCGTTCCAATCATAGAAGAGCGAAAATTCATACCAAATTATCTATTTGGCTTCAGGAAAAAACGAACCACAATTGCTGAAAAGACTCACTATGCCTTTGACCATGGAAATTATTGTCTGCAACTTTCCTCGTTATTTCGCAAGCCTTCGATCGATCGTTCGTTTTGGATCGAAACGCACCCTAGTAGTTATTTTAGTTAAAAATAAATTGTAAATTCAAATTTCTCGGACTCCAGAAAGATATTTGAATGCATAAATATTTGCATCTAAACCACGATTAATTGTTTTAAATGCTGGTCTGCGACGACCAACTTCACATTACAACAAGTAAATAAGTATAAGTTCGCGCGAAACCAAACTTTATCTACCCGGCGCAGGTATCAAATATCGAAGTTTCAACTTTCTCTAAACTACTTGTGCATGATAAGCAGGGGTGTTTTTTCCGATTTCAAATATTTTCGACTTAATGAAATAATTGAACCAAGTTTGGTAGACATCGATAAAGTGGTTACTGAGTTACACCTTTGTAGCTATAAAGTGGGCGGGGCCACGCGCAGTTCCCAAAATTCTATTTATTGTTAAAAAATTGGTGTAAATTAGCGTCCTCACTTATTAAAATATCGGTGTTTTCGTATTTCTTAAATCTACCTTTATACGGGAGGGGGCTGTAATTTTGGTCCGATTTGAATAATTTTCAAAGAATTGCTTTTCCGTATCAAGGTTATTAAGTGAACCAAGATCGGTTACCGAGATACACATTTATTGTCATGATGGGAGGCGTCAAGCCCAAAATCCAAAAATTTATAATAATCTAATTTTTTTGCAATCGTCGATTTTAAGAGAATTTGCTTGAGTAGTTACTGATTTATAGAAGTTCTCGTATTTCTGTAAATTACCGTTATATGGCAGGTGGGCGTCGTTATTACCCGATTTCAAAGATTTTCAATACCAATATACCTCGAATAAAGGGAAACCTATATACCAAATGTCGTTGAAATATCTAAATTTTTGCTCGAGTTATCATGTACACGGACGGACGGACGGACAGACATGGCTTAATCGACTTCTCTATTCATTCGAGCACTTATGTATACATTTGTCTATATCTATCTCAATTCGTTTTGGCTGCACGAGTGCGCTCGGGTATAAAAATTCCTCGAATACCGTTAGCTTACTTCACGTATAGATCTCATAATAAAATTTGAAGCCAATCGAAATTGTGCCACCGAATTTGGTGTTCGATATGCAAAAAGAACGCCTCGTATACTGTCAAAATATCTCAGTAACTAGCAAATAAAGCATCGAAATAACTCAAACTCCGCCAATGTTACCGTTATGTATGTACATATGTACATACTTGCCAGTGTTTACTTTTTACCAGCTCATAAATGTCAAAAAACATATTTTTGAAACTTTGCATTTTTAACGATCTATTCGTCCCTGTTCATTTTTTTCAGTTGTTGCACAAGCATACAAAGTGGATGTCGAGGTGCTGTCTGCCGCCCGAGGATGCACCGCCATACTGCGCTGTGTCGTGCCGACTTTCGTAAAGGAATTGGTGCGAGTGGTCTCGTGGGTTCATGAACCTGCTATCTACATTTATCCATCGCTACAAGGAGGTATGTTAAAGTGCTTTTTGCGAGCTTCATGATTTTTTACGTTCTGTTACTTTGTTTGTCGTTGTAGTACTATGAGTTATGCGCATAGCTTTCAAACCAGCTTCCAGCGTTTAAGCCTGTGCAGTTCGGTGCTGTGCTGTGTGTGTGTGTGTGTGTGTGTGTGTTTTTTTTTATGTGAAAGTCTACCGCCTCAACTTGGCATTAAAGGTGGAAATGTGATTATTTATTTGCTAGAGTAGCAAAAAGCGACAGCCAGCGGCATGCAACAACACTTGTGCGTACATTATCCTTTTGCTGGGTGCCGCGGCTACAGGTGTCTGTGTATCTGGGTATAAACTGGGCAATGCATTGCAATGTTGGGATAGTTTGCGTGTGTTTCTTGCTCATCACGCGGGTTCTTGCATAATTAACATCGTTCTCTACAGTCAGCAGCCACCATCTCATTCTTCATCCGTCGCCCGTCGTCCGTCGTCCGTTAGTCATTTTGTATGTTCTGTCTTCTTGATTAAAATTTACTTTGACATGTTTGTTTGCTATTCGTATGGGTATGGGGGGTTTGTTTAAATTCCAGCTAGCCAAATTTTATATACTGATTAAATAGATGAATAAAATACGAGCTCATTAATAAATAAATTTTTGCTTAAACTCTCCAACAGATGGCAAATTCCATTTACTGCCCACCGGTGAATTACTCATTCACAATTTACAGGAGACTGATGAATCGCAATCGTTTCGTTGCCGTAGCATGCATCGTTTGACGCGTCAAGTGGTAGTCAGCTCGCCCACACGCCTCAGAATCAATTGTGAGTAACTTACATTTAAGCTATTTCCACATAAAATGTTTTTCATTCAATATTAAAATATTTGAAATTATTTGCACGAATAACTTTGTTAACTGGATCTTTAATTAAATTTTGCTGCAAAAAAAAGTGTTCAAAATAATTAGCATAATTTTTATTGAAAGGCGTTTATGTTTCATTTTGAAGGAGAGTGCACAAATAAGGCCAACAAACATTGAAATATTTTTAATAAAAAATCCGAGACTATACCTAATTTTAGCTGTTAATGCTCACCGACTGGCCGCAAAATTATACGTTAATTATATGTTAGTTGTATAAATTTATAAATTAAATGCATGAATACACATGAATGCATTAAAATAAGAATTTTTTGTTTGAAAAATAAAATAACTGCATGCGCGCAGCTTTGAACGTATTGAATATGCAAAACCGCAAATGTATAAATTATTTATTAACACTCACGTTTCCATTAAAATGTTCAATTATATATATATATATTTTTTTAATTTCATTAATTTTTGTACGAGTTTAAGGTCAGGATATAATTTGACGAATGCGGTTTCAATTAATTTTAGCTATGGTCTCCCTGTAAATTGATTTGTTTTTGATTGTTGATTGGTTTGATAAGAAAATTAGTTTAAACAAAATGACCCTTAGTATATTTTAGTTTCTTCCCAGCCTTATTAGGAGAGGTCAACAACTTAGCAGAGTAGTGGGGTTGAAGAACGTAAAGTTATTATATTGATACGTATATATCGATCCCTTTGCGCGAAACTATCGTATGTGCCAGAAACCTATGTAATACACAGGAGAGAAATTTTTCTATTAAAGGCTTGGTTATGCAAGTCTTAGACTTGACTTGATTTTAAAATGGTATATGAGAAAATCTCACGAGTTGTTTTTTTAGTATCGCTCCCTTCTCTCGGCAGAAAAAAAAAAAACGCGAAAGCATTCTTTTTGCATTTATTTTAGTCAATGGAGTTCCAGAAACAAGCAAAATGATAACCAAATCAAATATTTGAACAATTTTAGCCTTAAAATGTTTACAATTACGTTAAAAGTACCGAAATTACTAATTTTTCATTGTCACTGAAAAAAATTATAATTGTTTTTTTTTTTTAATAACTTTGAGAAGTTTCCAAATAGAACGCTAATATTAAAGGCAATGGACGTTGACATCAAATAAAACATATCTGAGAAGCTTTAAGGGTGTGCCACCAAATAAAAAACATGTCAGCAAGCAGAATATCTGTCGCAGCTATATTGTAATTTTTGAAGTTGTACGATTTATCAAATATTATTAATTTAAATATTAATAATTTTAGATAACTTATTTATACCTCTTTAAATATCAATAATATTTCATACATCAAAATGTTGAAAAATAATTGATGGAAATGTTCTTCTTGCCAAATCTAGTGTCCCACCAAATGGGAAAAAATTATATTGAGTAAAAGATGACTATGATTTAAGAAACTAAAATTCCATTTTTATAATTTTTATTGGTACACTTATCATTCTAAAGTTGTTATGTACATGAAGGAAGTAATATGTATGTGCATAAGGAATACTATATTAACTACTTTTAAATAATATGACTCTCAAGTTAAGGTGTGCGACTAAACGTGTTAGATGACTGCCTATGGTGCTACGTGGCGTATACGTTACAGAGGCAACTACGAGCAGGAGTAGTTATTTTTACTTTTCTTAGTATATCCTTTTCAAATTTTCATTTAAATACAATTTCGCGTTAAAATTTTGACAGTCCTTGGCCAGGTATACATCTGTATTTACGCGTCTTTCTTCGCCGAAGTTTTCTTTAAGCGTATTTTTTCGTAAAATTTTTTTACGCGTCTTTTTTCGCCGTCAAAACATTAGCGCGCCTTTATTCGTGTGCAGTGACGATATGTAGGTACCCAAAACAACAACTTCACTAAGAAACATGGATAACTATAGATTTTTGATTTCAAAGTTAAGTTTCTAAGTGCGAAGAGAGCCGTGAGAGAATCCTGCTGTCATACGCGTAAATAGATTTATTTTAATTGTAATTTCTTATCAATTTTAATACCAAACGAATTAGTCGTTCAGAATTTTACATGTACAAATACAATTGCTGAGAATGTAAGCAACGAGAAAAAGTAATAGATGGATCGTTTCCAGGTTTCTTTGTAAGTCAAGTCTTACCCTTAGATAACCGGGCTTTAACTTTACAAAAATTTCTTTATTCAATTTTTGTCGAAAGTGGCCCAAAATGGAAATGTTATCAGATTGGCTAGAAATTTGTTACTCGAGGGTTCCGGAGGTCGCTGATTGCGAATCTGAAGTTAGATTTAAACAAATTTAAAACAGTGGATCCAATATGGCGGACAATATTTTAAAAATCAATCGGATTGCTCTGAAATTTGTTACACCGGGGTTATTGGGGTCGCTGAATCCGAAGTTAGATTTTAAACATTCATGTCTGTAGTTAGCCTACATAAGTTGTAGTTTCCAAAGCCCATCACGAGGATGTTACAGTATGAATTAATACATCATTTTTTATTTTTTATTTTTGTTTAATTTTTTCAGTTTTGATTTTTAATTTAGTTAATTTGAGGATTATTATTATTCTCTCACATTTTCGACACTCCGACCTATACGACTTTTCCTCAAACCCGTATTTGAATCCGGGCCTTCTGTAGCTGGAAAATATCAGCAAGCATCTCTGCACAATCAGCTTAGTACGGCCATTGTGTCTTCACCTGTTCAACTTGCATAAATTTTCTTCGCCATTTGATTTTGCTCTCCATTTCACAGACGCTTTTAAGTAATTAAGAAAACCCAAAAAAATTAATAAAGTACACAAATTATATGCTGTCTCTGACGGCATTTGAAGCCGAACCTGCTGGAAGCTAATGAATAACAGAAAGCATGTCTGCACGCTCAGTTACAGCCAGCCATACAAATGTGTTTTCAAATGTTCAACTTCAATCATATTCCTTAAAATCGGTAAATTTACCATGAAAAATCGGTAATTTTACTATGAAAAATTCAAGCAATAATTTGTTTGGAAAACCATTCTGCTTATTGCAAAAGAATAGGTATGGAGATAGCATCTCTTTGTTACCATAATGTATCTATTTGACTATATCTATAAGAAACCTGTCTAACATAGTCCATTATTAATTTTTGAGATATTCCAATAGGTAAAGGAAAATTTATTTCGCATCTATTTTCACACTTCATTAATTTTTCAGTCTACTTACATGTCCATCTCCCTTTATCTCAATGATTTTTTTTGTTCAAAAATGTCTTACCAAATAAAAAACGATCTCATAAATCTTAAAAAAATGTCTTGTCCAAGACATGTTCTCCATTTTTTAAAGATACATACGTACATATGAAAGTAAATTACTATTTTCTTATTTACGGTTTTTAGCTCATCGCGGCATCATTTCACCAAGCGTCGTCGAACACACATCTCACGTACAAGTTTCGCAAGATGAGGGCGCTGTTTTGCTATGCGTAGCGCAGGGCTGTCCATCACCCGAATACAGGTATGTAATAATAAAATAATTCTGAAATACATGTATCAGTACCATCAAGAATTTTTTAGTGATGCTTGATTACATAAATGTTTCTAATTCATCATTTGAATGCAATAACATAATACAAATTTTGCTAGGCAGTTGAAATTTTTTTTTTAATTTGGAAAGTTAGAAATGAATAACAATTTGACTATGGTTAATGACAACATTTCGTTTTGGCGTAATCCGGGGAGTTTTTCAGAAACATCGCCAGCTGTAGGCGCAATTATTCCTGAGCCATCCCCTCTTCCTTTTTACTGAAAAGCCTTGAGCGACCTATTATCCTGTATATCGATTTCTGAGTGGAAGATCGACCTATCTCGGCAGCCAGTTCGAAAACGCCATATCTCGAACAATTTTTCAAGAACGCCCTGTCCCAGAATTTGATAAAAGAACGCCCTATCTCAGCTGCCGAATTCTTAGAAAGGGCATTCTTCAACCAAATTCTAAGACAGTGTTTTTTAATAAAATTTTGAAGTTGGGCTTTCTTGAAAAATTTTTGGAGATAGGGCGTTTTCCAACTTGCTGCCGAGATAGGTCGATCTTCCACTCAGCAGTCGATATGGGCATATCTCAGGAACTTTTGATTTTGGTAATTACGTATAGATCCGTAAAAAAAACAATCTAAAACACCAGTGAGTCAATGTGATTATGCGTATTGTATTATTACACATTAGCTGATTCAATAAATTCTGATTTAATTACACTATCCAACAGTGAATTCTCAACACGAAAAAAAATTAATAACTATGAAAGAGGATGTCTCCCAGACCCAATTCGCCGAATGCAGTTCCAATCCAATCGTCAATGTTTTTCATTTTTGGCGCCCCCTAAAAATTTCTCTGTATAAAATTATCATGGCAAATTTTAATCCTATAAGTGCATCTTTTAATGACCTTTCATTATAGCTGTTTTGAGAACGGGTCAATAATGCCCATTTAGGTAGGAGCTAGAGGGTAAAAATTTACTACAAAAAAATCCTCATCAGATTCCTCGGTAGGTATTGAGTCTCTCAGCCGGCCTACCTGAAGGGTAAAAAGGCAAATCAGTGGAATCTGTCTTGCATACAATTGTTAAATTTATTGAAGAGCCCTTTAAGGACAAAGTCTTCATGGTTAGTGTCTTACTCGACATCGAGGGGCTTTTAATAATATGCTTACCGAGGTAATAGTAAAAGCCATGAATAAGCTCGAAGTCGAGTACTGCTTACTTCGGCTTATCTCCTGTATGCTGCACGAGAGAACTGTAGTAGGGGAGAGGAGCAGCGACGCTGTTCAGCTTAGAGTACTCTGCTACATTGGTTTCTACCTCATCTAGTCGAATGAGTATTCGAAAATCTGTAGTATATTTGACATCACACTAAGAGAAAATGATAAGGGAGTACTGAGAATGGCTCCGAACGGACCCTTGTTAACACTCATCCCTCTAAGGAATAAACGGGGAGAGTGACGGCTTATGTAATAGAGGTCCAGTTAGCATTTCCACGGCGGAGCCATAGTTGGCGCAGAGTTGGAGGAACTCATTTGCAAGCTGATAGATTTATACGGCATATTTCAGACAGAGGTGGCCGCTGTAAGGAAGCATCATTCGATTGGCTGGGAAAGTAAATATCTACATACTCCGACTGGCAAAAAGCAATCACGGCTCCCACGAATCGCTCATGGTACAATCGAAATTTACAGACAAACGCCTGACCTCTCTCGATCGCCTAGAATAGGTCTAAATCAGCTCCTTTTCTAACAACTCTACATGGATTAAATACAGTTATTGTTTCGGGAAAAATCTATTAAATGATACCGCAATGGACAACATAAGAAATTTTCCGCCAGTTAACCAGAAAACAGCCATGAAAATTTGAAATTTTTTTTTAGTTCTTTAAAACACTTTCTTCCCAGTCCTTGGTGTTAACAAAACCACTCAATTTACATATTAACAAAACTGTTACAAAAGGCTGTATATAGCTTCCTTCCAAGCAAACATTAGTATGGAGGAGTGCTCGGGTAGAAAACTGCATTTAAAATTTTCCAGTTAATCAAGACAGGCAAACCGTTGAGCTGTGGTTAGCACATAGATAAATAAATAAATAGCCAAGTGTAACGAGCAAAGTGGCCGTAATCAACAAAAACAGATTGAGGGAAACAAGGAAGTAAGGCAGGCGCTTGGAAAAATCGTTGCTAAAGCGAGACATTTGTCACATTTGGTTTACTAAAATACATACATACATAATGAAATTGACGCACATAAAGTCATAAAAAGCATTTGCGTTGTATTAAAACCACTGAATGGCTGGGGCAACCAACAAAAGGCGTACATAGTAGATAAATATGGGCATATATGCGTATGAATATACATAACAAGAATAAGTGAAATCGAGGCGAAAATACCGCAATAACTAATATAAGTAAGTTGATCTTGCAGCTTGTAAATAGTTGAATAGGACGAGAAGAGTCAGGAAAGAGAATGCTTCAAAAGGAAATGACACTATGGAGACCACTATCTGGTTATTACTGAAACTGCTGTTGCTCCCTGTGGTTGTTGTCATCAGTTAGCAGCATAGGCAAAGAAAAGAGATTATTTGGTCGTAACATAAGGTTGTATAATAAAATTGAATCTGCTTTTCTAGGATATCATATTCTGCTATTGAAACTATCACCATTGACCTTGTGTACGTTAATATAGATACATACAAATATATTTACTTACAAAGCTCTTTACAAGTTGATAGGCTACACTTAATTCTTGAATGAGTGTATGTTAAGTTAACCAAGGTTGGATTGTAGTTGCTACCAAGTTTTCATTTTAATACGTTTTTTTTATGTCCTGATTATTGGCATCCCTTTCTTATTTCAACTCTTTGTCGGTCTGTGCTAGAAACAGAAAACCACATCAATTACCCCTCTCTTGCAAAGTGACACCTTCTTTTAATTACAAATGCAGACATACCCGACTGCATTTAGTAATTCCATTGTTTCCGTTTACTTTCATTTCCCACCTATGAGTGCCTTCCGCGGACCGCTAATCCTCTCTTTGTCGATTTGACAGCATCCACACTTTTGCTAGCGTCACATTATTATTTTTCGCACTAGTGATGAATATTTAATTTTCATATTGTACCTATTTGCCGAAAAGTTGTGCCTAAAAGTAAATAAATGTACCTAAAAAGTAGATACATATGTATTTTTCGATGGTTGGTGGACTACCTCTTCCTTCGGTGCCATATCTGCTTCTGGTCTTACATCAAACAATATCTTCTATTAAAATGGCCGTGAGAGGAATTTATCCGAGCAGTTGAAGCCTAATACTAGGTTCACATATAAGTAGATTATCCTCATTTTCGAGCTTAACACCCTAATCTGTAAATATAACAAGAGATTAGCCATATAAAATTCGTCCCTTGTTAATCTGTAATTATAAAATAATCTCAGATTTAACCGATAACTTTTCGGTGTCCATCCTAGTTTTATCGATTGTTTTTGCGAAAGAGAGGAGAAATGGCAAATGTAAAAGTAAACAAAAATGTACGCTAGCAAGTAAAAGAGGTTTGTAAAGGTATTTTTAATAAAATGTTAAGTTAAAATATATTTATCATGCTTATTATAGCAGAAAAACGTGATCACGGTGGCACAGGGAAGAAATATAACTTTTCCTTGAGATGTGAGAATAACAAGCATATCAAATTTGACGGCTGATAATCTGAGATTTGCCTGTGTAAACGGGGTGATTAAAAAACGAGCTTTGATTGAGATAATATTGATATGTGAACATAGTTTAACGTACGTATTACCCAATGTTTATGCCTGTTTACAAAGGGGGAAGGCCACACTGGAAGGAAATCGCATAAAAATGCCTTGGATAATAAGAGAAAATTTGCCGATAAATTATCTGGCTATGTTCCAAATGTACTTAAAATTATGTGCTGGTACCGAATATATGTTCAAATTTAAGAGGTTCTATCTTGTTTTACATAACTATTTCACGTCATTGTTTCTTCTTCTTCAAAATTATTCTTTACTCTCTCACACACTCGGTTGCTCTCAGCTCGATTGACGCAATCTTGTATACTACCATTCTTGGTTTGACAAAATAGATAGCTATTGAATAAATTCTTTATCTGGCCAGAGTTGGCCTAGGTACCTCTTCGTCTTCTCGCAACCGTCAATGCAGTGATTAATCAGAAAACCTGTTTTAATCCTTAACCACTGTTTGGGGAGGTTTATGATTGCCCTGTACCTGGTAAGGTTGTAAGAATAAGCAGACTTGCGATGTTCGCCAGTATGGATCGCTGAGCCTCTTCCCTTCCTTCCTCAGCTTTTCCATAATTGTGTTAAGTCCGATCACAAGGAAGAGGTCAGGCCCTTTAGAGTAGGCGGCCGCCTTTCTGTTTGGCCGGTCACCTCCCTTATAACCATCAATTCCTGTGCTACCTGGTACCCAAATAAGTTGGATAGCATTGACATCTGCCAGGAAGTTGAACCTGTTAATGTACTCAAGAACCAAGGAAGACTTGTCCTCAAATGATGAAAAGGCCTTGAGTACCGCCTGGCTATTAGTAAATATTTGAATTTTTCGTTTGTGACTATAAAAGCTTATCTCATTAAGTCTCACTAAACATACTATCGAAGATGTTTAAAATAGGAGTAAAACAAACCTTAATTACCACGTAACGGTGTAGTTGTGTAGTTTTTAGAAAGGTGTAAAAACTATTTAATACATGCACGGGGTATTTAATGTTCGACTTTAGTGCCCGAGCCCCTAATATTCAGCCTACCCCGGGACAATTGAACCCCTGACCACGCTCTCGACGAGTAGGTGTTCATAATAAGGAATGCCCTGCGGTGGTTTATTAGGAAGGCGCGTATGAATAGCTCGTACTTTCACTCAAAGGCAGACTGGCCGATTGTGAATGCTCTATGTGAGTGCCAAGCGGAGGCACATCCTATTTACTATGCCCGATGAAGCTGCGGAGCTCC